CAAAACATTGGGAATGTGTACCTGTCACAGTGATAGATATTATGACAACATTTCTTGCATTGCCCTCCTTTGTTCCATAATCTGTTGTTTTAATAAAAATGTGACATAAAGTCATTACAGCAACATTTTAACATTTTTATTCTATTTTTTTAAAATTTCACATCCTTACCCCTGAGGAAACTATTTTAAATTTTGCAACCAAATTTATGGTTCTAGAAAAGATCTCCTCTTCATATTTCATCATCAATTTTAGTTTTGTTTAGAGGTTTCTTCAGCAAGTTTATTGAATTTCTATTTTTAAAAACTGACTGTTTTCAGCCACAGTAGACATATATTAGAAATGAGGTAAAGAAAGACTTTCACCTTTATTTTTGGGGAGAGAAGAAATGGTCTCCATATTAATTTCTAATAGACATTCAAGTTCCCTAAGTGAATTGTATCCTAATTAGAAGAAGAATCAGAATAGTATTCCTATCTATTTTCTTCCTGTCAACTGATCTAGCAGTAGTAAGTTGTTACATGACAGCAAAAATTATTTCTATTTTATCTGCTAGTATTAATAATAGCCAAGTTGATCCATTATCAGTGAAGAATGGGACATCAAAAAGCTCACTATGGTATGTTGGAGAATCTTTAATCTTTTTTAATTTTAACATTATTTTACAATGTCACTTATAAATATATTCTGGTATTCTGGATAATTTTGATTCTATAAGAGTATGTATGCATGATAGTTATGTATGGGTTTTTGAATCAGTATCAATGCTTTCCAATACAGCAGATATTTATTGTAGACTTACTCTTTTACAATTATTAAACTTCGCTTTTATGTAATTCTTTTTAAAATAATCTCCTTTTCAAGGAGAGATTTTTCAAGCCAACTTTCTGATTTTTTTAAGAGTTTCTCCAGTACATAATTAGATGAAAATTGTGAATTAAGATGACTTTGCCAAAATCTCAATAGTTTATACTGAGCGTTGTATAACTAAGCCTATCTATAGTTAAAACATCATTGGTGAGCTGTGTTAATTAGATGGTTAATTTGGAATATAACTTGAGAGTCTGTTGAACAGACAGATTTTTATTTCTGTAGAGAAAGATATAGGTAATCTTAATTTGTAATATTTAACATGAATAAGATAATTTTTAAAATGCCATTGCCATTTATTGTTTTTTTCTGAGTCATAACCATTGCATAAATTATATTAAAGGAATTTGATTTCACTGAATATCATCTATTGACAACTGCATGCAGCAGGCTTATACAGATTTCTAGTATACCTAGCAGTTGTTCAAGTGATAACTCTGTTGCAAGAGATTATATATCTATTATATAAATGTCAACTACAAGTCTGAAATTCCTGTGACAAACAGATGCAAGTGGAGTTGTCAGTGTAACCAAAGATGCTTGCGCAGGCATGTGTTCTCTTTAAGGCCTATCAAGAGGCAACTTCCTTTCTTTCCCAAATAATTGCATGATTTCTATGAGATTCCCATGTATCCATTAAAAGGGTGATGAGGCTCTATAATGGTAAGACAGCTGTGGTGTGTAGTGTTACTTCACATGATTTAGAATTTTGGGGGGTGAATAAGAATAGTTTTCTTTAAAAAAAACTTTATTAAATTTTAAAAAGTAACAAGAAAAAGGGGAAAGGTTTGTTTTTAAACTAAGAGATTATTTTTTATAATTTTTGTGAATGATGAATAATTATTTTTGAACCATTTTGAAAAGGGCAAAAGGTTAAAAAATGAAAAGGAGGTGAAAGAAGGCAAGAGATAAGCAAAAAAAAAAGACTTTTGACTTTTCTCAGTACAGATAAAAATGAATAATCAGGCATTCTGTTTCTCTAAATTAAACATAACATAGTCAGTTTCTAACTCTAATAACGATATTTAATAATATACAATATTTCTGCAATCTTAAATGAATGTGGTCATTTAAACATTGGTACAAAAATAATTATTCATCATTTATAAAAAATTATAAAAATAATCTCTTAGTTTAAAAATAAACCTAAGCAAAATGCTAAAATAATCAAAATATTTTAACATCTCCATTAATTCATTTTTCCAAATCTTTTGTCACTAATTTTTCATTAATTACATTAATGACTAATGATTAATATAATCATGAAAAAAAGAAAATCTCCACATCTCCTCCATCATATTCATCCATTATAACAAGTTTCCTAATCTCAATTATACATTAATCTGTACTCATTGTTTTGTATTGAAATTGTTTTTAAAATGCCTTAGTCCTTAAACTCACATTTCCCAATAATCAAAGTTAGTACCATGCCCCATTCTAATTTGATTAATTTTGACAAACTATCAATTCAAATATACCTACATCTTAACTATAAAATAACTGTTACTAATACATATAATCAAAATCATTTATTCAGCATAATCCAATTGAAAAAAATTTGGGCACCATCTTATTGTATCCCAGAGGTGTATTCAGCAGGTTCTGACCAGTTCTGGAGAACCAGTAGCAGAAATTTTGAGTAGTTTGGAGAACCGGTAGTGGAAATTTTGAGTAGTTTGGAATACCACCTCTGACTGGCCCCACCCTCTTCTCTGCCTCTCAAGTCCCTCAAGGCCTTTTTTGTTGCCCTGCACAGGAGAACGGGGCTGGAAAGCAGGTTATTGGGGTGGGGAGGGAGGATTTTGCAGTAATCTTCTCCCTGGAGTGGGGAGGGAATGGGTTTTTTTCAGTATTCTTCCTCTGCCACACCCACCAAGCCACACCCACCAAGCCACACCCACAGAACCAGTAGTAAAAATATTTGAATCCCACCACTGTTGTACCCAATCTTCAGAACAGCACATCCAAAAAAAATTCAATTATTAAAATCTTCATATAACATAAATAGTTAAATAGGCATGCCACTTCAATAGGCATGCCACTTCAATTGTATATCTTCTCTTTCCAATATGTCTCCTACTTTTCTATTTCCTCCTGGCCTTCATTCACAGTCTCCAGGTTGTTGCTCGTCATGTAGTCCCTATTGTTAAGGTTCTATTAAACCTTGATCAAAATCTTGTACATTTGTGGTATAGAAGTCAATTCCTTTGAATGAGATATAGTGCAAACTTCAACCTCTGAAAGTTCAAAGTCACATCTTCTCATTTGATCTAGTGAAAACACTGCTTAATGTACATCTAGTAAAAACAAAATGTTCTTTTCTTTTTCTGAAATTTCATATAGAGATTTATTTCAAGGTAGTTAGGTTTTCAGCTTTTAATCTTAAATCAAAATGATTACAAAAAACTTGTTCCTGTATTTTTCTTTCAATAGACCAGAAAATCACTTAATATTTATTGATTGTCCTTCCTCATTTTTAATTTTCATTTTATTATTTGTTTGTGTTTATTTAATTTATACACCACCCATTGTGGAGCGACTGGGTGGTTTACATCATAAAACAGTATAAAATAATTAGTATGTTAAAAACATAAGGATTAAAAATTAAAAGATGAAAATTAACAAAAAAAACACCCACCAGATTAAAAGGACCAATATGTAAATAGGGTAGAGTTAGGATGTATCTTCCACACAGATGATATCCAATTTATTATCCAAGAATTTTTCAGTTTTCTCAAACTTGACTTCTAAGGTTTGTAATGATTTTTTAAAATAAAAGTTCCATCTCTGAGAATATACTCTAGTTCTTTTCTTTCATCATGTTGAATAACACACTCTAGTGGCAGATAATTATAATTATGATTTATTAGTAAAAGAAAGAGGAGCCATCAGAAAGAGCTCTTCCAATTACATTCATTGATCTAAACCAATTGACATAGAACTAAGTAAAAACAAAGCAATGTACCAATGGGAGGCTAAAAGGAAAAAAACAGCTTGAAATATCATAGACATAGGTTCTTCAAAATACAAGTTTTAATCCCTTATTTAAAACAAAACAAAACATGGAGCTGTTGAACCCCTGCTTCCCAGCTCCAAATCTTCGTTTTGCAACTATCTTGCAAGCACCAGCTATCTGAAGAACCTGTTACTTGATTTCTTGGATTCTCCTTGCAGCCAGAGAATTCTTTAGGATCCAGGAAACCTACTTGGGTCCCAAAAATAGCTTACTGTGGACTGACACTTCAGAGAAGCTCTTCAATCTGCCACTAAGAATAGTTATTTTGTTTTGATAACTAGAACCTTAATAGCAATTTGGATAGGTAATGTTTTTTTCTCAAATTTTTTGAGAAGGTCATCAAAATACCATTTATTCTCATGACAAGATAAATGTTTGCTCTAATTCTTTGAAAATATGATAAAAATAACACTTCTCAAAATTGGTAAATTTTGTATTGGATTCATTGGATCCAGTACATGAGTTTAAACATACTGCTTATCATCAGCAGCACTAGGAAGTTCTAATGTTAAATAAGACAAGTTTAGCCAGTTCATCAATATAATCTTACTTAAATTTTCTTCATATATATTAATATGCACTATATTATCTGGAAGGTATTTTAAAGTACCAGATTTTGGTTTTTGGTTTTGTGTTGTTTTGAGAAAATTTGTGTTAAGACCCCAATGATCCAGTAGATTGCACAACTAGTTTTTCAAATAAATTTTGCTAGAAATTTTTAAGAATGAACAGATTATTTTAAAAATAATGTAATTATAACATCAGGCACATAAATATTTTTCTGATACCAGCAGGTGTGGGTAGGCTTTGCAATTTTTCTTGTGGTTCTAGTTCAGTTTGAACTAGAAAAAGCTGATATTTGTCAGATAAATTTTGGGTAATTCATTTTACCCAAATCACTAAGAAACATATCCTTCTTTCTTCAAGTGCTTGGGATAGTTTTAATATTAATTTGAAATGTTTAATAAAATTAATTAATATCTGCTGTGATTTCCCTTAAGGAAAATACCACTATCTTTAGTTAGGGCCTAGCCTAAAAGTATTAAGCATATTTAGATTTTGTTTTGTTTTGTTTTATATCAATAAAATGTAACTCTTTTCCTCTCTGTTTTATAGTGTCGTCCATCCAGAGGCCGGAAGAGAGGCTATTGCTGGTGTGTGGATAAATATGGGCAGCCACTCCCTGGATATGATGGGAAAGGAAAAGGGGAAGTCCATTGTTACAATTTAGAAAACAAATAAGAAGAGGCCACCAACTTCCATGGAGTCTATATATGGCATCTTTACCAGCCAGAGGCCTTGGAGTGACTGGGCTACAGCGTGGAATGCGTTGGACTTGGGATTCTGAGTTTGGGCCCCTGTCTATATTGGGGAGAGTCAATAACTCTGGATTCTGCAGCTGCATCCTGCCACTGATTCACTTTCTGCTTTCCATAGATTTATATTGGGAGCTCTGAAATCCCAGATAAATCTGCACTATTGATCCCCAGAATGAATAAGAAAAGAGGAAAAAAAAGGCACTTCAGGATGGATTCAGGGAGCATCCACTCACTTTGTTTTTTGTTTTTTAAATAATGGCCTGTGACCAATTTGATCCCGAAAGATAATTATGTTTTTATTTTGAAGAATTTGTAGACTTAATTATTGTGAAGATACATGTATGACACAACCCAAGCTAAGCACTTTTGCTTATATGTTTAAACATCTTCCCTTTAAATAAAAGAAACTTAAGTTTCAATCTTTAAGCTTAAGAAAGAGCCCCATTAAATTCATTGGGAACTTATAGTTGATAAATGTGTAGGATTTTACTATTAAAAGTGCTTATCTTGGGCTGAATCAAACTCAAGGGTTTAAACTAAGCTGTTTTGTTTTTATACAGGTCTTACAAAAATTTTATTTCACGGGTAAAACATGTTTTATTAAAAGAAAAAGCTCAAAGAACTTTTAAAAGACACATGTTTCTATTTGGTTATTTTTCCTGTTAAATATACTGTATTATGACTATTCTGTTAGTCTGTATTTAATATAATTTTTTAATAAACTATTTAAATGTAACATCAACATCAAATGTTACCCAATCATTATAGTGTATGCTTCTAAATTATCTTTCCCAGAGACTTACCAAGGTCAATGCATGTTAAACAGACAATTTAAAAGTGGATCATCCACTGTTTGTGATTCAATCAATATTTTTAAAATTCTAGATACAGAAAAAAGCAATACTTTTCAGTAGTTAAAAGTGCAATGCTCATTAAATTTTAATTAGCATTACTCATGAATCGTTGTCCAATACTGAATAACAAAATAACAGACTAACAGAGTTGGAAGAGACCTTGAGGGTCTTCTAGTCCAACCCACCTGCTCAAGCAGAAAACCCTACCAGGGGTATCAAACTTGCAGCCATAGGCCGAAAGTATCACATGCTGGCCACGCCCAACCTCATTTTAGTGAAGGGGGGAAAGTTGCAATATGTCATGTGACAACATGTCATCACGTGTTTGACACCCCTGCCGCAAACCATTCCAGATAAATGGCTGTCCAGTTTCCTCTTAAAAGCCTCCAGTGATGGAACACCCACAACTTCTGAATGCAAGCATTCCACTAGTTAATTGTTCCCACTATTACAAAATATCTCCATAGTTCTAGGTTGTTTCTCACCTTGATTTCTTTCCTTCCATTGTTTCTTGTCTTGCCTTCTGGTGCTTTGGAAAGTAGGTTGACCCCCTCTTCTTTTGTGGCAGCTCCTGAGATATTGGGAAACTGCTATCTCAAAATTACATTTCTTGAGACTAGTCTGAATCGGTTTCCAAATATTGATTAAATCAATTGAGTAACCATCAGGTAAAATTAGAAATAGTAGATAAGGAGACAAGGATTTGATTATAACAAATACATACCAAGTACGTTACTAGATCCTTAAATAGAGTTTAGTCATAGAATTATTGGACATGAAAATGCCTTTCAAAGTGACATCTGATCTACAAAAGTTTATGGTATAATAAATTTGTCAATTTTTAAGGTGGCATAATATTCTGTTGTCTTTGTTTAAGCAGATATCTGAACAGCCTTTTTAAAGGTTTTCATATTTGTTCCTTGTTTCAGGTATGCATATTAAATGGATCCAAAATTCTTGATATCCTATCCTAAGTAAATGGATGAAAATAAAGACAATTTCGTGTAAGATACTGAAAATTTACCTGGGAAAGGATTATGTGTTTATCTGTATTTATTAGTCTTTAGTTAGTTTTTAAAAGAAATACTAAGCAAACACTGTCAAAGCTCTCTCTTAAAATTCATAGAAACTATAAAATCTTGTGACGATATTTCTGGTTTTGACTTGTACATTAATGAGATTACTGTATGAGACAGCAGTTAATCCATTTAGCAATAAAAATAATCAGGAATTGAATTGTTTAATTTTCAATTTACTTTGAATTACAGTTAAATTAAATTGGACTATTTATCTAATTACATGCAAATATCCAATTAAATTAAATTGAAATATTTTGGAACTTATTCCAAATTCTTTAACAATATAACCGGGGTTAGACTCACATTCTATCAAAAATGTAAGTTCTAGTTGCTAGACATAATTAGCATGGGGGACAATTCAGTAAAATATGTGGAATCAACTATTTTTGGCATGCAGAAAACTGAGTATTATATAAAAAATTTACTGTTGTTTTTCTGGACTTCATTGGTGCTCTTAGTGAAGAAGGAATTAATGTTTTAGAACAGGAGTGTCAAACTGGCAGCACCGGGCTGGATGCGTCACGCACAGGCCACACCCACCCCAGCTCTGCAAAAGCAAAAAATCATCACAATACATCATGTGATGCAATCGAATTTGATACCTGTGTTTTAGAATGTAATTCTGAAATTTCCCATGAAAGCACAAAATATTCAAAATTGTATCCAATTACTGATAATCATTTTAGATAATTCTGGAAAATATATAAATAGCAAATACCACAAATTTGCTTAATGTTCCATATTAGAAATGCATGAATCCTTTCAAAGTTCCACATCATTTAACATGGAGCAGAGTGAAATAGGAATTAGGTAATGAAAACGTAAGATGTAGTACCTTATGATGAAGTAGGAAACACTGTTTTAATATTCCAAGCAAGCAACAAAACAGTTTATTGATTTGCTGATGTGGCTGCTGTTCAAATGTAGGAGAGGAAGGAAAGGGAATTTTTGGTGAATGTAAGCTGTATAAATCTGCTAAGTAATTCAAAATAGGAATTCAACATATAAGCCTGATCTGTTTGGAATTTATATTGAGGAGAGCAATAAATACATAGCTATATAAATTACTACTTCTAATACTGTCAATAGATGGATCTATTATATCTCAGTTCCTCAAGAAAAGTACTTTTTTCATTCACATACAATGCAAGTCTCTGGAGCTCGCCTTCCATTTCTCTGGTATGCACAGCTAGAACACATATTAGCTATTTGTGCACAAGGAGAAGGAAAGTTCAATGCATGGTTAAACCACAGAATTAATTAGTTTTAGTACAGTCTGAATTTATGACTAAATTCTATATAAACAGCACAACGTAATCTTTCATTAAGTAATGGTTTTATAAATCTTTTGGGAAATCATGTTTGGTATCTCTGCTTGCATTAAAAAAATTGATAACTCCATACAGATTTCTGCATTAACTATTTAAATTATATTTAAAGAATGATATGTGCTGAGCAATATAGCAGAAGCTTTTTTATTGAAAAATAATTTATATGGAGAACTGTTTTGAAAATGGAGCATTTGAAAGTTATCTTGGCTGTTGAAAGTTATCTTGATAAAAAAACTGGACTTAATTAATCATTCAGAATGCCTAGAGCAAATATCCTAATGAGTCTTGGACAGAATTCTATGAAAGGAGGTAGAAAATGTAACCTTCCTGTGCTAAACCATTACTGATCTTGTTTTATCCCATCACTTGCTGCTAGAAAGAATTGTGTAAATTTTCATTCTCTGAGCTTGTGGACTGATTTCTGAATGTTTCATTACCAGGCTAGGTAACATATTTAGCGGAGATTAGGAGACGTTACTAGCCTGATAACAAAACACTCAGAAACCAGCCTAAAAGCTTGGAGAACGGACCTTCATCCTACATCCAAATTACAAATATTCGCTACTGTTGCAAATTGTGTAAATCTTCTAGCACATCTGAACTCCAATTAAGGTTTGAAGGCAGCAAAAAAAGTTGGATCAAAGTTGTATGCATCAACCTAAATGTTTGAAGTAACATTCTTTTCCAGGAGGACACTATAACAGAAAATATTTGGATGGTAACAGAACTCAGGTTGCTTTTGTACCTTTTTAAAAAATAATAATTTTTATTAAACAATTTTTCTTATACACAACATCATTTCCATTCATTACAACACTTTCATGATGGTATACATACTTTTACATAAATCTCAACTATTTATACAGTATATATACTTTTACATAAATCTTAACTATCTATACACTTGTCTATATTGCTTAATCTATCTTTATTCACTAGAACTTTTAGTTTATTATCTTATTGTCTTCTCTATTCAACATTATTTATATTATTTAGCCAATCATACAGTATATTCCATGTCAAATAATAATCCATTTCCTCTCTTTCCTTCATCTACATGGTCAACTTATCCATCTCAGCACACTCTCGTATTTTTCTTATCACATTTTCCTCTGGTGGCATATTATCATTTTTCCAATTTTTAAGTTATTCTTGCTGCCGTTAATAAATGTAGCATTAAATACTCTGTTTTCTTATCATATTTTCCCGTTATTATACCTAATATAAAAGTCTCCGGTCTTAATTCAATTTGCTGTTTAATTATTTCTTCTATCCATTTTTTTTGTCCTTATCCAATATTTTCTCGCTACAGGGCATGTCCACCACACATGGTAATATGTTCCTTGCTTTTGTTTGCATTTCCAACATTCAGATGATCTGTTTGGGAACATTTTTGCTAATCTAGCAGGTGGTAAGTACCACCTGTAGAACATTTTGTACAAATTTTCTCTATATGATGCAGACATCATCAATTTATAATTATTTTTCCCCATTTCTCCAATTCTATCATACAGCCAATTTTTTTTTGCCCAAACAATCATCGTTTCTTTAACCCTCTACTCTTCCATTTTATAATCCAACAAATAATTATATATATTTTTAATCAATTTCTCCTCTGGACCTTGTAGAATCTTATCTAATTGCAATAGTTCTCTATATATTCCATGACTTTCTGTATCTTTCTTGAATCTTGCTTGTATTTGTATATACATCCACCACTCTACATCAATTCCTTGCTCTTTTAATCCTTGTTTCATTTTTAATATCCCTTGCTCATTTTGAGATGTCCTTATACCTTACTATCTTATCCGGATTTAACACATTTGGCTATATTGATGCTTTCATAGTTGATAACCAGATCGGAATTTTGTAATTATTTCTTTTAATCTTTTCCCAAATTAATAGCAATGCATTTCTTATTTGA